GGGGGGGGAGTTGCGAAGTGTTTGCGCGCGCGCTGCCCCGCGGAGGGAGCGCGGCGCGGGCGGCGGCGCTTGGGACGCGCTCGCTGCGCGCTGGCCGCGCGCTCGGACTTGCCACGGGCTCGCGATGCGCGTGCGAGGCACCGCGGGCACGTCGGGGATTTTCTCTTCTTCGTCTTTTGGCCTCGGCGTATCACATCGCGGATGCTCTCGTTTCTCTCTTTTCTCTCTTTTTTTTTTTCCCCTTTTTTTTTTGGGGGGAGTAGGGGCTTAAAGTAATACCCCGCCTTTCGGTGCTTTCCCTGATGCATAAGCTTGCGACTTTCTTTCGGCTTTAGTAGCCTTCGTGCACGTCTCGAAAGAGTTTATTTTGGGGGGTGTGCGGGTGCGTTTCTGAACCTCCAGAGCGGGGAGAAAGAAAGCTGCCGGGAAAGACCAAAAAAAAAAAAAAAAAAAGCGATCAGCTGTGCCAAAATGTGCCGCCCTGATCCATACATATTTTCTCGTAACGCTCCAGAACTGCGGTAAATGAATATTTATAAAGCTTGTCAGCTCAACATGGCGGGTTAAGGTGTCTTTAAGAAACTGCAAATAAACATTTTTGGAGGAGGGGAGGAAATAAAGGCGTGTGGGGGTACCCCACGTGCGGCTCAGGGCTCTTTAGTCGCGCGGAGGGTTGTGCTGGTGAATTCAATGCGGAGCGAAAGGGTTGGGGAGCGCACCCCGCCCCCCCATCTCCGCAGGACTGAGTGGTGGGAAAAGTCCATGGAAAAGGCTGGGAGCTCCAAGGGGCGCGCAGCTCCGCTGCCTCTGAATGCCCAAACTGCAGACGTGCCACGAAAAAATGAGAGTGAAAAAAAAAAAAAAAAAAGACTGCCGAGAGACGGGGCACTAATTTATTTTGCATTAACGGGGGGCACGTCGCGGGATGCGCTGAGCTGTCGGAGCTGTCAAGCTGCCCCCGTAGCTTCGAGATGAGGAGGTGGTGGTTTTTTTCGTGATGATCTGTAACAAAAACGCTCTGAAATTTCCATGCACGGAAATATGGGCTGCGGAACAAGTGGCTTTCCCCGCGCTAGCTGTAGCGAGCGGCGCTTTATTATTATTTTACATTATTTTTGCAGAGGAAAAAACCCACGCCGAAAGGGGCTCCCAGCTCGGCAAAAGCGACTTTGCGAGCAGTTTGACGGGAGTTGCTTGTGCCCTTCCCGGCTGCTTTTTTTGTTGTTATTATTCCTTTTTTCTTCTTCCTTTTTCCCCAGACGAGTTTTTTTTTTTCAGGGGAGCGGAGGAGCGAGACGGCCCCGGAGCTGCCGAAACTTCTCCCTTTCGGTTCAGGGAGCAGCTCCTCGCCGCTCTCCGGGCTTTTTCACCTGCAAGACGTTCACTTGCGAGGCGGGTGTCCGTGTTTTGCCGCCGCTGGAGGCGTTGGGAGGCTCCAGCATCCCGATGCCCGGGCGGGGATGGAGGAGGATGCTGATGATGGGGAGGAAGCCCGTCTTGCCTCCCCGTTTCCCTCCAGCTCTTGGAGATCCTCTCCAGAACCCCGCCGCGCTTTTATTTATTAGCGGGAGCAGTTGGAGACGCTGCTTGGCCGCATCGCATTTTTTTTTTTCACCTGGTGCATTAACTCTCTTTTCCCTCCTCCAGCCCTATTTTTCCCTCTTTCCCCCCCCCGCGCTCTGCCAGGACCAAGTTTTTCTGCAGCATACTTCGGTCACGGGGCTAGGTGGTGAGGAGGAGGGGGAAGGAGGGTGGGGATCGCGTAGCAAAACAGCCTAAAACGGCATTAAATGCAAGCGGGGCCGCTCGGGAGGCAGTTGTCAAGCGGCACAGTAGGTTGCAAAATCTAAGAGCTGCAGCGGGGGTGGGGGGCAGCCCGGTGGTTTTTCTGTGGATATTGCAAAAGGGGAAGCAGTCCCGTGACCCCCTCATTGCTTCTGCTCGGACAAGGCTGCTTTTAAAATCAGTTTGCGCCCCTGGTGCCTCGCGGAGGGGGGTTTGCTGCAGCGCAGAGCGCGGGCTGCTCTCTGCTGAAAAGCAACTTTGCTGCCCGCTCCGCCGGGCGGGGCGGGTGGGACCTGCAGGTCCCCTGTGCTCGAGGGGCTCGTCCCCCACCCCTCCTTTCTGCTTTTTTTTTGTTCTCCCCTTTGCCTCGGAAAGCAGCCCAAAATGGCTCTTTCCTTGCAAAGTGTTGGTGCCGCTGCGAGCACCTTGCTCTCCTCTTTGCGGCACGCGCTGCAATGAGCGCCCAGCCGGGTGCAATCCCCTCTCCTGCTAATAGATACCCGGGTGCTGAGGGGGCATCAGCGACAGGGGCTTTGCTCACGGGACCCCTTTGCTTCCCCATCCTTGCCCCTGTCCCTCCCTACCCCCCCTCCAAAAAAAAAAAAAAAAACGGGCGGGGGGGGGCCTGTTGCTGCACGAAGCATTTTTGCTGTGCAAAGAGTTTACATTGGGCTCAGCTCCAGCCACCCCCACTTTTATTTATTTATTTTTATATGCAACAAGAATATTTATGCAAGGGAGACAAATCTGGTAAGTTTAATGCTAGTAAAAGGTTGGGTCCCAAAGATTACTTTGATGAGATGGAGGTTCTGTGTCATCCGTTAGCAAGTGAAACACTAAAAGCCATTTAAAAAGATGTGGCAAAGTGATACCAAGCGACGAGCGCTTTGCAAACAGCAAGAAAATACTGATTTTTTTTTCCTGGTATATGCATGTGTTTTTAGAGGGCGCACATGGCAGCGGGGTAGTCGATAACGTGAGTAAAACCAGTATCACTTTGTGCATCGAGAAAACATTGACAGATATTCAACAGATGTTACAAGGCCGATGCAGAGATGAAGAGTTTCATGCAGATGTAAGAACATCTGTAGAAGGCAGTATATAGTCATATAGCTATGATTATGAGTAACAATTGACTGGCTGGACAGACAATTGATGTTTTAATGAGACCACCTATTAAACCTTTGTGGTAGTGTTACTAGGAATAGCGTAGATGCTGTGTAGTACAACCATGCAGGTAATGGAGTTACAAGAAGATGATACTATTTTCAGCAAATTAACAAGCCTCTCTGGATAGCGTGATTTATAGCTGCCTGTGGGGGAAGAAAGGGCAGAGGATAAGGTTGTGGAAAGGAGGTGGCTGTCAAGTCGCTGTCACTGTGTCCCTGAAGAGCCCCGCAGAGGTCACGGCGCTGCTGGCCACGCTCGGGGCTGTGACTGCTGGAGCCGTGTCCTGACCTGCGGTCACCTCCTTGGAGGGGGACGCCAATTAGGAGGGCTCCTCCGCTGTCTTAAGCGTGACATTATCTAGCAGGGCTTTTGGAGGCAGCAAGGATGGAGCTGTGATCTCATTCCTGTCGTGCCCGTCCAGCACGGAACATTGAGTGTAATGGGGTAGGAGCATCTCATTCCTGGCCTTTGGGGAACCATCAGTTTTTCAGGCTAGTCCACGGCTTTTGCCCTGCTGAGTGTTGTGGGCGCACTTTAAATATATATATATATATAAATATATATTTTAAATATGTATGTACTATATATATTATATATTATTTAAAATTGTTACTTACAGTACATATACAATATGTATTTTATATATACTATACACACACACACACACACACATATATATGTATTTATGTATTTTAAGTCATGGTTTCAGGCCTGTTCCCAGCCAAGCAAGTGCTGATGTGAAATATTGGCTGCCTGGGACCCTATGGAAGGACAGGGTAGCTCAGAGAAGGTGTCAACTTATTTCTTCAAGCACTCTCTTTGCTAGTGAAGAAATGAAAAGCTTGAAATGCACATTACTAATAGTGGTGCTATTTGCAATTATTGAGTGTTTTATATCACTATGATACCCTGGTGAGCAGCTTCTGGAGCAGGTTTTAAAGATTGGAGCACCCTGTGGTACATTGTCAAAACTTAAATCTCTGTGTTTCAAACAGTTCTTCTTTGTGCTTCAGTCATCTTTGAACCAAATTAGTCAAATCCAATTCTGTGGTTTTTTGGTTGTTATTTTTATTTATTTATTTTAAGAATAGATTTTCATTTACTCTTTTCCGTATTTCAGATATCACTCCTACAGTGATAAAATGTTTGGGTTGCAAACTAGGGGAAATATGACCAAAAACTGCAGCATCGCTGATGTTTAAAAGCGATTGTGTTTAAAAACTCATTAAAAA